CATGTCTAAGAAACCAAAAAGGATAAGTATCTTCAAATGGAATCTTTGAAAAATGAAAAGGAGAGGAGACATCAACCTAGGGGAGAAACATAAAAGAGCCTTATTCCAACAAAGAAGATGAAGTTTTCTAAAAAGGATTTTACGAGGAAGATAATGTTGAGGTAACTAAATCATCTTACAAGCAATTGTTTATAATTAGCGCTAGGTTTGTTGAAGGCAATGATAAACTTAGAAAACACAAACTAAACCTTAAAGAGTATTTAGGTTCTCTTGACGAAAGTAACAAATCGTTTAAATTAGAAATAACTAAAATTTAAAAATCAATAGAAACTCGTGAGACTTGTGTCTCCTTGAAAAATGAAGTAATTGATTTGCATGAAACCCTAGGTAAGTTTATCCGTGAGAAAAAAATCCCGACTTTGTAATATCTCATATTCTCTTAAAATGTTCAATTGGGTGTCAGTTAAGATCAACTGAGTTCCTACGTACTATCTTTTATCAGTTAGAACAAGTGAAACTCCTAAGTGCTCTAAATGTTATCAGTTGAGAATAATAGAGTAACTAGTGAACTCTGAAGAGAAATCAAATATTAATAAAAGAGACAAACCAATATTAATAAGCATGTGAGGAGACATTTTGGTAACATTAATAATTGGTCAATTGGTGTTAGATGATAAATTATCAATGGAGACATTTTGTATCATTACATAATATTATTATATAATATATATTTTGGTGTATGAGAATAAAAATGAAATAGAAAAGAAGAAGTTAGTAAGAAGAGAAAGAAAGAAAGATAGAAAAGGAAAAAGAGAAAGATAAGAGAAAAGGTAATAAAAAGAGAAGAAGAATTCATGGGAGAGAAAGAGGAGGTTCATGGATTTATCATCTCCACCATCAATTCATCTTCATCTTCTTCAATAAGGTGAGTTCCATGGATAGTGTAGCCTTGGGAGGGGGGAAACATGAGAACATTGGTGGGTTAGGGTTTTGTGTTGAAATTGGGTTAATGTTATTTCCATGTTGTAGTTGTTGAATTGCATGCTTAGTTATAATATAACATGTTTAAGTGAGTATTTGGATGTATTATAGCCATGTGGGTTGGAGTTTAGAGATATTTTTGCTTTCCAAATGTGTTGCTGGGATTATGAGTTTTGCTTGAGTTGTCGGACGAGCTTTGGCGAGCATGTGGCAAACTGTTTTCTGCTAGCGTCGACGGGTGCGGTTTGGTGAACAAGAAGCGAGCTACCTTACTACCTGCTCGTCGGGAGACCATGATGAAAATTCAGTCATGATTGGGCCTCGCCTGGGGTTCGCCGAGTGAATCAAAGGTGAGCCAGCCTCGCTGGCTGCTCGTCGGACGACCATGACAGCATGCTGAATTTGTGTTTCTTATTTTTCCCATAACTTGAGAACCGTAACTCGGATTGAGGCACAATCAAAAGCGTTGGAAAGCTATTTCAATGCTCTACGTGATAGAAATTAGAAATATGGTTATATGTTATTGATTGATAGAGTAGTAATGAATTAAATTGAATATGGAATAATATGTGAACGGGTGAAGATGAACACCTAACATTTTGATGAACACCATGAGAATTGGTTTGATATTTGGTGAGGAACCTTTATTCCAAAAGTCCTATTTGGTGAGGAATCTTTGTTCCAGAAGTCCTAATTAGTGAGGGGTTTGGTTCTGAGAGTTCTATTTATTATGAGACTATGAATCAACCATGAATGCTTGGTATTGGATAGTGATGACTATATGCCTTAAGTGAATTATTTATGTGGAGTATGTTTGACTTGTTTATATTACTATATGTTTTGCATGTATGATGTACGTGTAAGTTGGATGTTTTGATTGTGAAGTAACATGCTTAAAACATTATGAAGATGAGTGAGTAAACCTAAGCTTATAACTCAATAAATGGATTAAAAAGATAATTAAGTCATAAGTATGATTTAGATAACACTAGAAGGTGATATTCATGTAATATGATACCTAGGTGACTGTCACTGATGAATGGTTACCATAGTTATGAGTGAGATGCATTGTATGAAACGCGTGATATTATTGTGTGATTAAGGTGAATGTGATCACCTTGTGATTGTCGAATATGATCATGTTATGTTGTATTTTATCACGTAGTCGGAAACAACCTCCTAATTGTGTTGTCCCGAGAATGATGCTTATTTAGAGCTCCATTGAAATGCACTCACCTTTACTTTAACTTGGGTTTGAGTCCTAAAGACAATGGATCCCTAAGTGGGTTAGAGTCTTATGCGGGTAGAGACTTGAAATGTGTTTGGAGTCCCATAGGAAGTAACGATTCTTAAGGTTGAGGAGCCCCTTAGAATCTGAAGTCCATGCGTATGTCAAAGTATGATACAAGGATCTGTGACCTATGTCGATAACTCTAGACATAGGGTTGGCCAGGAAAAGATGCCTTGATACGGTTTCTGAACTAGTCATTTTTTTAGTTGATGAACTCAAGAGACATATTTCCATACATTGCGAGTTTTGCGAACTCAAGTCTTATCCCCCTTTCCCCCTTGACTTGAGTTAGGATTTGAATAGAACCCTGTAGAACCAAGTGAACCCATAGAATAGGGGAACTCACTGAGGTTAACATTTCACCTTAATATTGTTGTTATTTTTCAGGTGTTGTTTGCACGTTTAGTATACAAGAAGAAGTTGTGCATTGATGTTTCATGGAAAACTTATATTGTGATTTTTCTGTTGTGTATTGTGTACAATGAAGGATATTGTACTTAGATCTTAGATTTTTATTTTTGACACTTTTCGTATCTTGTATCATATGTTGTAAAATGATCAAGTATGTAAATGATGTCAATAGACACTTATGATTGTATCGGTACCAAATAATAACACTTGTATGATATTACTCTAGATGTATATTATACGGGTCGTTACATACTTGATCCTATCAAGTAAAAGGTCTTCTTCAAATAAAAATGGACTAGGATTCAAAAAGGATAGAAAAGTTAGTAAATGTATAGATTACAAGAAATAGAATCGTCCATTTTATAAATGCACACACCCCTAATTTTTAGTTAAATTTTTTATTTGATAATGTGAATATTTTGTTTTGAAGATATTATTATTATTTTTATTATTATTATTATTATTTAAAATTTGAACAACTAGAGAATTAGACAGAAATAAAAATAAAAATAAAAATCTGAATTGTAATTGAGAAAAAAATAAATAAATGGAAAATTAGGAATAAAAAGGGAGATAAAAGGAAAAAAAAAAGAAAAAACACGTTTCTCGAGAGAAAAACAAGAAAGGAGATAAAAAAACCTTAGCACACAAAGCTCTTTTTTTTCCCCAAACACTAACAAAAAAAATCTCAATTCACCAAGAGAAGAGCAATAGAAGTCGTGCAAGGAAAAGATTCCTTCATTGTTGAGAATTCAAGAGAAATACCCTATGTTCAAGGTTGTGGTGTTTTTCTAAAATCCCTAATTTTATATAAAGTTTTTTGTGAATTCCCTTGTGGATGAGGATTCCATGAGCATTAGACCATGAATATCTCTTTTGTTGCTCATGATTGGATTTAACTGCATAATTTGATTTTCACTCCCATGAATTTGATGAATTAATGTTGAGATTGTTTATTGATGAATTGATAAATCTTAGTGATGAAATTATGTTGTTTGATTAATGTTTGAATGGTAATAAAAGGTGTAAACACCTGTATTTTTATTTTTCTATCAAACTCTGGACTGTTTTGGAAATACCTAACGAATTAGTTAAATATTCATAACTTGAATTAGGAAACTCGTATTGGGGTGCAATCGGATGTGTTGGAATGCTAACACATAGACATATCTTATAATAATGATTTCATGATGTTAATATGTGCGAGAAATATTGAGAATAAGAACTCGTTTTAAAGGTCCTATAATATTTTAGGATATTGATAGATTCATATTTGAGGAGTGTGTTAAGAAAAAAAAATGCGAGTTAAGAATTTTGAGAAGCAAAATATGGAGAAGTCTTACCTTGATTATAAAAGTAAATACTTGACATTTAAGTTAGAAAAGTCTCACACATATCAATTTAGAATTTTAGATGAATATATGATGTATTACTCATAAAATATGATGTGCGTAAAAAAATTTCAAATATAAAAGTACTCTCCCTTAAGGTGAGACACAATATATATATATATAACTGTTATTAATAAGCTCTTTTGTTTCTATCATCAATGATTGTGGTATTCCTCATTAATAAATATTGTTATCTCAAGTAAATATGAAAGAAAATTTGAGAGAAGAATTACTAAATAATGGGAGTAAAAAACATAAGGATTCAAAATTATTCAAAAATAAATAGATAGTCAAAATCACACCATACATCATTTTGGATCTTATGCTTCAACATTTTCTCTCCAACCATTTCCTTCACATATTGTCTCTTTCTCTCTCTCTAACATTTTCTCAATCTTCTTCTATTTATTAATTTTTTATAATTTTTATTTTATTACACGTGTTTTAGTTGAAGGAGAGAGAGATAGGCGGAAAGGATCTATTGTGGGAATACGAGGTCAAAGATGAAATTGAATCTATTTAATATTAGATCATTTTTTGATACCATTCTAAAATGAGATTCTGAGCAGTTAGTTGCTCGTCCTAACAGAACACGTGATCATCACTTTGATTTATCATTTTCTTATTAATTAATGTATCAAAATGGTAAATTTTACATTTATACCACTTAATATTGATAAATACAGAGCTAGTGGATCTCGCATTAGTCCTTTAAATTCTGTTAAAAAATGTGTATTATGTTTACCAGTTGGCTTAAAATAGTGTTATTTTTCATCCCTGTCGCCAATTTACTTAACAAAAAACAAAGCATTATTTGATATTGACGTTGAGCACATGTTATCTGACCTCGCTTAGTAAGTAACAACATATTTTAACATTGACGAAACTATTAAACATTAATACATATTACAATATAATCAAGATATTTAAATATTCAATAAACTATTGATTGCATCAACATCATTATCTTTGAAAAACTGCAATTCTTGTAGAGCCAAATTTCTTGCCTCATTCACTTGTTTACCTTCCTTGAATCCCCTTTGTGCCATTCCTTGAATCATTCCAATATAGAATCCAATTTTTCTCAATTTCTCTATTTCTTCTTCACTCCCCCCACCCAACACCCCTCCACATACTGCTCCACATGAATGCAACTCACATTCATATTTCTCCACCACGCGCATGATTTCTTCCACGTGGCATATCTCATCACCGTCCGATCTGCTATCCACTGTTTTCCTGTACTGCGCATCTATCACCCCTGTTGAGCCCACAGCCCGTGAGATCTCAACCATCACCCTTAAAATCCGCTCCGAATTTTCCCCACTGTCGGATCCAGCTAACAGCTCAAATCCAAACGGAACAATTCCATCGCCAGTTAGAAGCTCCACGTTAGGCCCGTAAACATGATTCCTCCCGGGCCTGGGCCTGTCTGTGAGTGGAAGATGCTCGTGAGTATAAGTAGCTGCCTCCATTAGTAACAAAGCTGAAGCAGCGGATATGGCTTGGTGGCGTTGACCGCCTACAAGCTCACATGCCGCTAGGCATAAAGCTGGCACGGTGGTTTTCGGGGCGGAGAAAACGAGGTGATGCATGGGCTCAAAAACCTCGAGAGGTTGTTTGACTGTAATGGAAGATTTGAGATGGGCTTCGATGTCGGCGTGTAAAGAAGCCCAATGGAGACGTGGGTTGCGAGTTTGTTGAGTTATGGTCATTCTGACGGGGGTGGGCTTGAGTTGTAAGTCGGAACGGTGGTGATTTGATGAAATGGAATTGACATTAGAGAGGCGGGAAGAAGTAATAGTAGCCATGGAAGGATGAAGATGAAGAGAGAGAGAAAGGAGAAGAATGAAAAAAGTGATATTGATGGATCCTTATTTATAATAGTTATAGATTCGTTGGTTTGTTGTATGATGTTGAAATTCAACTAATGCAAATTTGGCCGCTAATGTCTTGTATATTTTATATAACGGCGGCTGGTAATGAGAATGAATTATAAATGTGAGAGAAAGGGAACCTCTAAAACAATTTGAGGATACACAAACACGTACCCTCCCTAGGGAAGCTCTATATGCATTCAAACGATAACTGTTTGTATAAGTTAAGAGTCTATTAAAATTTTTTTTAAGTTTTTCGATTCATTTTAATTAAAAAAAATTATTTAGTAAATATCTTTTTGCTTTTAGTTTATAATTTCTAATTAACTTTTAATTTTTTTCTCAAAAATTATTTAAATTAGTTTTTGAATTTGTAATTTATGATTTTTTATTCCAATTATACCCTTATTATATATATAATATTTATTATTCAAAAATTTGATTTTAAAAGATTGGATTTATAAAAAAATTTTAAAAATTCTATAGCAAATTTTTACTATTTTTCTCTATTTTACTAGACATTATTTTTATTTATTAAATATAACTTATATAATTAACTTAGAAATAATGTTAATAATTCTCAAATTAGTAAAACATCATAAGATAAGAGAATCAATGAAATCAATAAAGATGAAGAAAACTCAAAATTTTATTGTAAAATGTTAGACAATAAACTTATTTTTGTTATTATAAAATTAGGAATAAAAAACTATATTTTACGAAAGAATGAATTAATCAGACCAAAAATTGTAATTATTAGGATTACTTTTATTTTTATGTCCTCATAAATGACTTTATGAAATACCCCTGCTTCATGTATAGTTCACTGATTCTTTTATTCATTGAATTTCGTTGTCAATATATTCATAATAAATAGCAAAACTTATAAAACTTATATACAAATTTATATATTTTGATAATATCTTCAATTTTTTATATATATTAAAATTGATTTGTATTTTGTTATTAATACATTTACTTTTATCGAATAAAAATTAATTTAATAATATAATATAATAAAATAACAAAATCACCAATTTCTTAATTAAAAATGTCCTTTTAGGTCATTTTGTAATTATCAGGCAGTGTAAAAGTTAATTTACCTGTTGTAAATGTGTCTTAAAACCTTTATTGATGAAGAGAAAGAAAATATATTTTGGAGATTATATTTACCGCGAAAATCGAACGAAAAGTCTGGAAAATTATAAAAAAATATCGGTCGGTGAATAGTATCGCCCGTACGAATGAATAGTGACGTATGTACGATGAATAGTATTGTCCATACGGTGAATAATGTTTTTGCATTTTCGGGCTCTTTCGATTCGGTCCATGGATCCATGTGATTTTAGGCTTTACTTGTTGGGTATTTGCTATTATAAATATGTATCTCTTATATGATTGGTGTGTGACAATCTTAGAGTTTATACTAGTAAGGGAGAGCAAGGATTTAAAGGTATAACATAGGGTTTCAACAATGCACAAAGAAAACCTTAGATTACACATTGGGTTTGAGTGATTCACATATTGAGAGTTGGAGAGGTAGGAAAACACTTGGGTAGAAAATATGGTTGTTCTTGGGCACCTTCAGGGTTGTTCTTGGGAACCTGAAGGCGAAGACTATTTTCTTGTGACTCATCTGTAATTTCTTGTAGCAAATTTCTAAGTATAGTGAATTAGAAAGCTGCTCTCCCCCCTAGAGTAGATCGTTTGATCAAACTGGATAAACAAACCTTCAGTTTTTTATTGCCTTATTTTGTTATATTATTTGTGTACGGATTATTATTGCTGAAGACCATTTATTTTGGTTTCTATTGTTCTTTGCCTTACAAATTAATATTGAATTTTGTCGTAATTCACAACAAGATTCACAACAAGTGGTGCGATAAGCGTGGAGCAAAGAGATATTGTTGACAAGTGAGCACCATGGTTAGTAGATGGCAGATCGAGAAATTTTCCGGTAACAACGACTTCGGGTTGTGGAAAATTAAGATGAAAGCAATTTTAATTCAAGAGAAGTGTATCGATGCTTTGAAGAGTGAAGCATTGATGCTTGCATGGCTTACACAGGTACAGAAGACCGAGATAGTGAATAAGGCCAGGAGCGCCATTATCTTGTGTCTCGGGGATAAATTCTAAGAGAAGTCGCCAGGGAGCAAAATATTGTTGCTATGTGGACAAAACTTGAATCATTGTATATGACAAAGTCTTTAACTCGCAGGTTTTATCTGAAACAACAACTCTATTCATTCCAAATGATGGAGAACAAATCTATAGTTGAGCAGCTGATAGAATTTCACAAGATTATCGATGATCTTGAGAATATTGAAGTGAAGATTGATGATGAGGACAAGACTTTGCACCTGTTGAGTTCATTACCCAAATCCTTTGAGCACTTTAATGATGCTCTTCTTTATGGTAAGGAATGTACTATTACTTTGGATGAAGTCCAGATGGCGATGAAATTCAAAGAATTTTCAAAGTCGAAAGATTTGAAGATTGAAGATAGTGGTGAAGGCTTAAATGTGTCAAGAGGAGGAGGTGGGCGCACAGGGATGTCCAAATCAAAGAGGTATGACAAGCAAAGGTAAAATATTTTAATTTTCAGAAAAGCGGTCACTTTAAAAAGGATTGTTCTAAAAGAAAGGTCAATGAAGATTCTGTTCAAGCTGTAGTTACATTGGGTGAGGAAAGCGTCACAGTAAGAATCAGATATCAAGCTATCGATTAACTTAAATCACAAATCTTAATTCACCATTGATCTTTAATTTATCCAAGGAATGGGAAAAAGAACGAATAACCTAAAAAAATGCAATGCAAAAACAAAGCAAAAGAGAGTCTAAGGTTCGGGGGGTTGATAATACCTAGGGAAGATGCTAGCATCCTAAGTATCTATAGTACTCTACAGGAATCTATTATTTTATTGTGTTATTTTTTATTTTGTCTGCTAAAGGGTGAAAAGGTAAAGGGAGACCTTAGGTGTTATTTCTAAGGATGTTCGCCAAGACATCGCATTTCGTGCCTACGTATCCTGACAGGAATGGAATCAAAGCATTCGTAGTTCCCCTCGCTAAGGGTAAACAAAGTTTATTGGTTGGTTTAGAAGAAGAGACAAGTTGTCATCTTAAGGAGAATACTCAACTTAGACCACCACAAACATGTGGAGGATGCCACATACCTCTCTCAAGTGGAAAAGAATCTACATCTTTCTCAACTATGTCACGGGGTAGGAGAATGTTATCTTGACTAAGGATGACTCATGTTTAAATCTCTCATGAGAGAAAAGGGAATCTAATTGTAGGTTGTCTAGTTAACATCTGAAGGGAACTAACCCAATTCTATGAATCTAAAGTAAGATTGAAGGAGAAAGCTATATTATTTTTATCGTGCAATAATTGATCCTAATGTCTAATATTGATTCGATTTATCGAAGACAAAGTCAAATCGAGAACCTAAGGGCACTTGGAGATCCAAATCATATAGACATGTCAAACATCCATGAGTAAATTGACAAGTAACTAATCACGGTAAACCTAATTAAGATTCACTAAAAAACTAATCAATCAATTATAAATTTTTTAAAAAATTCAATTAATTCATTAAAAATTTAATTAATTAAAATTAGGACTTTTAATTAATAATAAAACTAACAATTAAAAAAATCTAAAGGGTGTAAAAAAAATATCATAGATGTGCATTATTATTTTTTAAAACATGGTGTGTGGCACCAAGTTAGACATGAACGTAATACCCATTAACATAAACCTTAATTTTTATCATATAATAGTAATAACTAAATAAAAAGTTATAGTTTAAAAAACAATAAAAAAATAGAAAAAAAAACGGCACAAATGGGGACGTCCCTTTTTTTTGTTTAATATCAAGATAAAAAAAAAATTAGAGCTTAACCAAATATATATATATTTTTTTTTACTTTTTCAAATTTTAATATACTATCCAATTACTTCTTGACATGTGTTTCTATAATAAATAATAATAATAATAAAATAAAAACACAGTTAAGCAAAGGAAGTTTAATTTCAAATTCATTTTCTTCAATCTCTGTCATTCGATTTCAATGCTCTCTACCTCTCAACCCAATTTTTAAAAAAAAACTAAATTCACATAGATTCATGGTACATAATTGCAATATAGTAATAACAATCAGACAGGTGATAACAAAAATTAAAGCAAGCACTCAACAAAAACAGAGAAGAGCACGAGTTAGCGAAATCGAAGTGTCGCAACGACACGAGCTTGTTACATTAAACAGAGTTAGATCTTAGTGCAAAAGAGACATAAGTTGGTGCGTGTTGACAGAGTCTTGATGGAGTGCAGTGTCAAAGCGGTTGCGATTGATTCTCAGCGGTGATTACGTGGATGACTCCGGAAGCGATGCAACGATGAAGCTCGTGATTAATTCTAACTTCCTTTTACTTTTCCTATTTTCTTTGAATCCAATCTCTTGTTGTTTTGAATTTTGTTTGTGCATCCTTTGTTTTCTCTCTCTCTCTCTCTCTCTCTCTCTCTCTCTCTCTCTCTCTCTCTCTCTCTATATATATATATATATATATATATATATATATATATATATATATATATATATATATATTATATATATATATATATATATATATATATATATATATATATATATATATATATATATATATATATATATATATATATATATATATATATATATATATATATATATATATATATATATATATATATATATATATATATATATATATATATATATATATATATATATATATATATATATATATATATATAGAAAATAAAAAAGAATGATAATAACAATTAACACAATGTCTTTTTTGTTTATTTATAATAAGACAAGAATAAAAGGAATTAAAAATCATGTTTTTGTGTTTTTTATGATAAGACAAGAATAAAAGGAATTAAAAATC